CCAGCAACTCAAAAGTTGCTGGTTTTGGGCTTGGAAGGGCTGCATACCTATGGTAAGCCTTACCAGGCCGAAACCTAGTGTCCGTGTAGGCGCAGTAAAGCCCAAATGGCTGCTGCCATAGTCTAGACGTCACAACAACATCGTTTTAACGACGTGCTCCATAAGGTTGGGTTGTAGGCCAGCTGTGGTGGTCGACAGTGGTGCCAGCGGCGGCAGCGAGCCGCAACCATGCTGCGTATTTCCTTTTTTTTTTTCTCTTTTTTTTTTTCGGCATCACTAGGTTTGAAAAACCCTAAATTACTTCTAATTTATTTATATGCAAAACTCATAAATTTCACATAGTGAAATAATAATTGCGTAATACATGAAACGTGTGTGTGTGTGTGTGTGTGTGTGTGTGTGTATGTCAGAATATATATATAGGGGTTTATGCATCATGGGGAATGTTTTCATGCTTCGTGGGCATCTCAAATATCTTACTTTATTTTAAGCGTACCTGATTAGCAGAAAACAAATAAAAGCCTTTGAATTTTGTAGAAGAAAGCCTTATCCTACGATCCTTCAGTTCCTTAGCTTCTGGCAAGAATGTGCTGATAACATGTTATAGGCCTAATTGATTGAACTATTCTAAGGGAAAGGGGAGGCCGTCGGCAAGAGAGATAGGTGTGTAGTATTTCACCCCATTGTGCCTTTATTTATTGTAGTAAGATAGGTTAAACCCTTACCCTAATAGAATTACAACTCTAATAGGATAATATCTACTAAAGAGAATATTCCAAGATGTCCTTAGATACACTAGAATTTACACAATCACATTCCTCTTCTAAATATGACTGCAACAAAATCTATTAAATGGCCTGGATTGATGAACATAAGTTTCTAAATAAAAATCCATATATTTTTCAAGTTAGACTATTAGTGGACTAATGCGTATGTGTATTAGTGGACTAATGCGTATGTGTGTGTGTGTGTGTGTGTGTAGAGAAGAATATTAATTACCCTATAACATGCATGATTCTTGTAATAGATTGAGCATCAAATAATTGGGAGACATGACAAACATGCATACATAATATTGCGGTTAATACAAAAATGGATGTTAATGTACCTATAACAATGTTTAATTGTTAGAAAGAAAAAATTATGACAATAATTTTTTTTTTTAATTTTCAAGTTGTTAAAAAAACATGTAGATGAGTAAAAAAAAAGGGTAAACGGGTTAAAGATGGGTATGCGGTTATGGTAATGGTATGCAGTTATGATTAACCATTTATAAACGGTTATGAGTATGGGTATAATTATTGATGCAAATACCCAATGGATAAATGGTTATGCACGTAAGGACCAATGTTCTAAAAAACGATCTAGGTGGCACCTAGGCACTCCACGGCTAGTTGCCGTTCCGATTACGGCCTAATCGGTAGAAAAATCGGATCACCCACTAGCTGGCGTTAGGCGGGGGACTAGGCAGGGCAAGGCGCTAGGCGGGGGCTAAGCAGGACAAGACGGTGTTGGGAGGCAGTAGATCAACTAAATTTTTGGAGCTGCACCATTTCATCTTCTCTGCCATCTGGGTAAAAAAAGGTTGCGCAGGTCAAGAAGAGAAGAAGATGATGAATAGTAACCTTTTAAAATAACCTAAGGTTAAACGACGTTGTCGATTGGTTTTTTTTTTTTTTTTTTAAGTGAGAATTTAACGAGCTTTCACACACTGTGATGGGCTTGTCCACCCAAATAGTAAAGTCCAAAATAAGCCTATTCAATCTATTAATGAGTTGTCAATTAATTGTTTATTATACTACCTATTAATTAAAGAACATTCTTTGTGAACTAAAAACTAATGAAAATGGAAGTATAGTTTTTTATGAGTAAATATGTAAATATTTATAATAATAAATACTAAATTTACTTAAAACCGCCTAGGGCACCTAGACACCCGCCTAGGCCCCAGTCTACCGCCCGACTAGCGCCTTGCAGTTTTTTAGAACCTTGGTAAGGATTTAAACAGTTATGGATAAATACCTGCAATTATCCACCCACGATAATCGTTGCCCATCCCTACATGTAACCATGTGAGTGCCATGCACTGCCTACATCTAATTTGTTGGCTTAAGGGAACTAAGTAAGATATTTGATTGATATGAAGCAAGTTCAAGGCTATTTGAATATTTCTATTGGATAATATAATGTCATATGTAAATACTTTTTAAATTATGGGTGTAGTGGAGATGAGAATGCTTCGTTGGATGTGTGGGCACATGAAAAATGACTAAGATTAGAAATGAGGATATCTGAGGTAAAGTAGGAGTAGCCGAAATTGAAGGAAAGATGAGAGAAAATCGATTACGGTGATTTAGACATGTGAAACGAAGGCCTACTGACGCTCTAGTTAGAAGATAGGACTACGGGACAGAGGTTCAGGGCTGAAGGGGTAGAGAAAAACCTAGGAAGACTTTGGAAGAGACTCACAATGGGCTAGCAATAATGCGGCTCAAATTCGTCTTTGGAGAGAATCGAACCTAAGACGTCTTAATGAGGAGGAATACCACAGACGTGAGATTAAGTGGCAATTATATTATTAGATTGAAATGTCCAGGAATGGAGCTAGAAGTTTCTTCTAGAGGGGGCAACCCTAAAAAACAACTAACCAAACCTTATTATGGTTTGACTTATACCAATATGATAACAGGGATGACTTCAAATGATGATGTATCACACTTTCAATGTTACAAAATTTCAGTGTAGCTAATACATGAGAGGCATGAGAGAGACTTTTTTTGTTTATATGATGGAACAAGAGTACTTGTGATCATACAATTTTTTAAATGAAGTAATATGAACGTATGCTTGATATTAAGCACATACATTTTCTTTAGATATAACAAGTGTAGTATATATATGCAATATGTAGCTTAACATCAAATTGCTTGAACTGAGGGCATCTGCACCCAATGAACCCTCATTGGGTTCATCTATAAAGATGTTACGTGAGAGTGAGAATGAAGTTGTTGCATATAAATTACTTTTGAATTTTGACCTAAAACAGAAAAGCGAAAGATAAAGATTTCCGTGCATTGAGATGGGAACTTTACCCTTCTCTCTCCCTTCTGCAATCCCCAAAATAGCATAAAAATCCACATCAACGCAACATCACCCAATGGTGTGCCTTTCCAATTTTGTGTCGTCTAAATAGGCTTAAAATCCTACCCGGCCCAAAAAAAAAAAGTTAAAATGTAGCTCTAATTTAAAATTCCAAATAGTTAATAATTTGAATAGTACTATTAGGGGGCCTCAGGCCCTCTCCAACCATGAAGGAAAAGTCCTGGCCACAATTTCAGCCATCAAAAATATAATTTATCATGTTAATTTTCGGCCATCAAAAATATAATTCATCATGTTAATTTTTTCCGTCTTCAATCATTGAAGACTAAATTTTAGACCCTTTATATTTTTATTACGTTTTAGTATACTCAAATATTTCTTTACTATACAATCAAATGATGGGCTCCACAAAAAAGAAATGCTTAAATGTCTGGGGCCGTCATTTTTTAGCCCTTTTAGGGGCTGATTTGAGCCCCCAAAACACACCAATTTACAAATATCTTTGGTTAGAAACGGTTTTGTTTAATTTTGGGGCAAATATTGACCAAATGCCCTTGACTGGAGACGGCCTCGCCTTCATCCCAACTTTCTAAATCCGAACAGATGTCATAAGGTATAATCAGTTTCTGTTTTGGCCTTGTCGCGTTAGACTAATAATGGATTAACAAGATAATAGCATGTTCTTGTTATTACAACGATACTAAAGGAGACAAAAATCAAACTATGGAAATTTCACCAGTCTTCACCTCTAGGCTCTAGCCATGCCTCCCATTTTCTCTATTTTCCAGTCTCTCTTGGTGTCGTATCAAGATCGGACACTTTTCTCTCTCCCCGGGGTTCCTCTTTACATCTCTCTCTGTCTCTCCTAGCACCAAATGGGGTTGGGCGGCAGAGAAAGGATTCCCAAATATGAGATGGTTTGACTAGTAAGTCATAATCCTTATGCAGAAAGTATACATGAATGAATAAAAAATGACTAGAAGGAATCAATTAAACACTTGTATCGTAGTCACACATCCTAATTCCTACAAAAGAAATTGAATTATATCACATATTTTCTTTTAAAAGAGAGATAACGAGTGGCAATCACGGTTATCCATCCATTTCAAAAGTCGGGAAAATTCACAGAAACATTTCAGCATCTCCTGATGAGATATCATTCACATAATAAAGAAGGGAAAACAACAAAATAACACAAGGTTATTATCAACATTTTCTATTTTAATATATAGTACAATAATAGTTATTGGAAAAATAAAACTGAAACATAAAAGATAAAAAATGTATTACCAAACACTGTATGTCAACACAAATTGTGTCGAGAAGCCACAAGGAACTTTGATTTACAACCAATAAATTATAGATGTCGAGTATATTTAGAAAATATGAATATCCAACCATATAGATGGAGCCCATAAAGGCCCACTGGATATTGATGCCCCTCACTCAACACTTAAGTAATTCGTTGTTAAGCTACATACTATAGGTATATATACACTTAATATATTTGAAGAAAATATCTGCACTAGCATCGTTCCTACTGCTTCTTCTTCATAAAAAAAATAATAATAATATGATCACATGTGCTCTTGTTCCATCATTCAAACAGAAAAAACCCCTCTCTTGCCTCTTATGTATTAACGACACTGATATTTGTAACATTGAAATTATGATTTGAAACCATCCCCATTACCAAATTAGTATAAAGTCAAACCTTAATAAGGTTTTGTTAATTAGTTTTCAGAATTGCCCTTCAATAAAAGAAATTTCTAGCTCTGTCCAGTTCAATCATGAATTCCATTCCATGATATACATAAAAAACAAAAAACAAAACAGAGTGTGCCTGACAGTTTCCTGGCCCAAATTGTCCAGAAACATAAAAGCCCAGCTCCAATCTTTCTACTACTCTCCGACCAAAAACAACAACAAAATCTTTCCATTACTCCCTCCTCCCTCCCCCGCCCACCTCAGCCGACTCCCACTTGCAGTCCACCACCACCAACCCAAAACGACACCATCCCCAACCCAAAACGACAATGCAAGCACAGCAAAACCCTAACATCCCAGTTAGCGAAATCTACTGGTCTCTCCTCCACAAAGCCGACAAGAAATTCTCCAAAATCAGAGAGCTCCCCTATTACCACCGCAACAGGTCCTTCAATCTCCTCGATTTCTTCATCCTAAACCCTAATTTCCCAACAAGTATTCCTTAATCTTGTTTTTTGAATTCTGTTCAGGCACGAGTACGACGCGTATTTCTACAAGGTCTTCAAGGTGTACACGCAGCTATGGAAATTTCAGCAAGAAAATCGCCAGAAACTTGTGGAGTCCGGTCTCCGGCGATCGGAGATTGGCGAGATCGCGTCGCGAATTGCGCAGCTCTACTTGGGGCAGTACATGAGGACCAGCGAGGCAAGCTACCTCTCCGAAGCGTACATATTCTACGAGGCGATTCTCAGCAGAGAGTACTTCAAGGAGGGCATGTTTCAGGACCTGAGCTTGGCCAACAAGCAGCTCCGGTTTGTTTCGAGGTTTTTAATGGTGTGCTTGCTCTTGAATCGGCGAGAGATGGTGCAGCAGCTGCTCAATCAGCTCAGAGTCTTGGTTGATGAGTGCAAGAGGACCTTCCAGGTTTGTGATTTGTTTTTTTTATTAGGGTGCTTTGATTTCTTGATTTACTTGTGAACAACATTCACTTGACATATGTGCTCTCGTTTCATTTTTAGAATGGAAAATAGAAAGTGTGTGTGTGTGTTTATACTACATACTTATTTTAATTGCAGTGGAAATGACTAGAAATTATCGAGAATTAGTATAAGTTTACACAACGAAAGAAATTGAGCGAAAATGAAAGTAAAGAAAAATTACAATGTAATATATAATAACCTAGTGTGTGTATATATGTATAATGTATATATGATATGTATAACAACCATGCAGTGATTGAGAATACGAACATGGACAAAGGCAAAGTTTTAAAAGGCTGTGCAGTAGTTAAGTATAATGGAATGACATTGACTAGGTGTGGTTTTATGAAGTTCCCATGCTCTGTAGCTTCGGTTGTAGAATCATAAGAGTTTTTTGGGTAATGCTTTATTGCTCTTGGAAGATTTGCGCGGTTAACTGAGGTCTAAGACTGTCAGTCACTCTCTGTTTCGTTTCATTTAATATATTAAGGCATAACTCTGCTTTTTCTCCTCCTTAAATTCATGTATAGAAGTAGGAAGTTTAAGCATCTTTGTTCTTGCAGATAGGTTTAATAATAGTGACATTTCAATGATCTTTGTTTCCAGGAAACTGATTTTAAAGAATGGAAGCTGGTGATTCAGGAAATAGTTAGATTTTTGAAAGCTGACACAGCTTTTATGAATATCAGGCCTTTGAGATACAGTATTGTTCTAGACTGTCATCCTGATTCCCTACCACATGTTTCCACAGCAGTTGCAAAGAGGTCCTTGAGACTGCGAGATGCTATACTGAGCAGCTACCATCATAATGAGGTTAGGTGTTGAGGTTTTTCCTTCACTTCTTTTTTCGCTTGGAATATGAAACCATATGTGTATAAGTCAAAACAATCACACTGCTTGTAGACATGTTCTGTCACTAAATAAACAATAGCCAGTGTACAAAAAGCTCTAGCTAACAACAAGAAAAAAGGCCATTTTGTGTGGACAATGTAGTTCTTTTTTAGCTATTTTGATTTATTTTTATTGAGTTTCAGTTTTAGATGTAGTTGGGATGAATGATCTCTAAGGGATACCTTGTCTTACGTGTTGTAACTTTCATCTTAAATTTGAAGAAAATTGTTTTTCTGAAAAAAAAAAATAATAACCATGAAATGCAGATAAGAACAGCTTTCCAATGTGTGAAATCTGAGATTTCCTGAAACTGCAATTATGTTTACTGGAATAGGTTCTCACTTTTGTTCATTTTCCAATGCGCAAATGTTGTCAAGGTTCTCAATTACATTTTTTTGATGCCTTATGAATATGATAAATGGAATCATTTCTGATATTTTCTGTTTTCTCTATGTTTAAATCTCAATTAGGTAAAGTTTTCAGAGCTTACTCTTGACACTTTTAGGATGCTTCAGTGTCTGGAGTGGGAACCTAGTGGCTCATTTTACCAGTCTAGTGGGGCTAAAAATGGTCAGAATGGGGCACCGGCATCCAGCCGCATTAATTACTCTCAAGATATTGCCGATCCTACTCTGCCACCTAATCCAAGAAAGGCTGTCTTATACCGTCCGTCTGTTACACATTTTCTAGCAGTGAGTATAATGGGTAATAATTTACTGATCTGTTGCCTGTTTCTCTATTCAGTGTTTTGTTATATTGGCTTCTAGGCTGTAGTACATTTTGGGTTTATTGATATCACAAAAGTATAGATCGATGATGAGGTTGAAATATTGTTTTGTCATGCACATTTATGTTCAATTATCAACTACCTAAATGCTTAAAGATAGTATCTCTTTAAGTTTAAACTTAGATAACCAGTTTATATGGAAAGCCAAGCAAAATCCTTGTTTTCCTAAACTATTAGAATTAATTCAAAGACTAGTGACCGACACAATCATGCTCTTGTAAACATTGGGAGGTTGGACCTTCTTGCCCGTGCAAATTACAGAAAAGTATGTGCTTGTTTTATCCTTGATTTGAGCAGCTATCATCCTGCTATGCATCTGTGATGTATCATCTCCTTCTTGATTATGTTACATCTGCATGAACCCATGCTTGTATAGGACACAGATTTGTTTGATTGTGTCAAAGTTGTGTCAGAGCTCTTAACCCTTTTATTTCAAACACTTAGCAAGTGCTGTGACACTCCACCTAGGATATATTTCTATGGATCATAGCACCTATCGTTGAGCAAGCTAATAATTACCACGTATAGTTATCAGTTACTAGTACCACATATCAGTTTCTAGAACCATGAGTGATTTCGATTGAGCATATGATTTTGTTCGGTAAACACATAGAGAATGGTTTGGATGAAATATGAAATCTTACCATCATCTTTTCCTTTTTGCGATAGTTAATGCTCCTTGTATCTGAATCCTGCCATCCTCTCTGCAAGACGGCTTCAACACTATTATTTTTGTAAGGAACTGCCTTTGTAATAAAATTCCTATATTGTTTGCATGACTGTCAGGTTTTGGCCACAGTTTGTGAGGAGCTTCCCCCTGATGGAGTTGTTTTGATATATCTGTCAGCTTCAGGTGTGAAAATTTAGTTTTAAATCTTAGCCCTTGGGTTTTTTTGTTTGTGTTGTGTAAAATCAACATTCCTTTAACATCATTAAATTGGTTCATTTAAAAGACATAATATTTTGTCCCCAGCAGGTGCTGGAATGTACTCTGATGCAACGTCCCCTTCTACCTTGGCCTATTCGTCTGATAGGATAAACCCTTCTCGTGGACAAGGTAAAGGAGATGGTTCAAGCTCTCAGGCGGGCTGTTTACAGTTTGGTAGCCATAGAAACGGAGGTAAGTTCTTAGCTTGTTTGTTTACTCCCAATTATAAGTGTTGGGCACAGATTTGGATTTTTGCCCTCAAAAGTTGACCTAGCAGGAAAAAAAAAAAAAAAAAAAACTAAAATAACTGAAGAAATTTTTGCAAAGTGTTTTTGTCAAAATCTGTGGTTTGTCATTCTTTCTTCTCTTTGTGTGAGTTCTTGCAAGATGGGGTTGTAGTGGGGCATTAAATAAAAGCTAATGATGCATTCTTGTTTAGGAGGTGCCTTGGTCCAAATTACGTGGCCATGTACTTGGAATATTATCTCCAGTACCGGAAATAATAATAAAGTATAAGGTTATATCTATTCCGAGTATACTGTGGTTCAAGGGGTGTAGGGCAGGTTGAGTAAGAAGTTTAATAAGTTTACACTTGAATTGGATTTGTAATTATTCACTGTAGAAGCCTAGAAGGTCTACAACTATAATTGTTGTTACTCACATGCCATGCTTATCTGATATATAATTGATTAATGGATTTCCGGGTTATTATTTGATGATTTGATCAATGTGACTGGTGTATTTAAACCTTTGATCTGGTCATATTTCTGTATTTCATTTCTTTGTTTTTGCATAACTTCCATGATAAACTGATATCATACAAAATCTCTATTTCAGGAGTGAATAACATTTATCCGAGTGACTTGGTTCCATTTACACGAAGACCACTTGTTTTAGTTATTGACTGTGACAGCAGTGAAGCTTTTGAGGCAAGTATATTAACTCTATTTTGTAGTGGGATATCTTTCCTAAATTTTTAGATTTGTGTATGAGAATTGGAATGCATTTCCAATAACGTTTTTGCCTGTAAAGAAGTTTATGTATTTGAAAAAGTATGTATTTAATCTGTACTATCAAATATATAAATATTTCTAGCTCATCATAATTTGTATCACACTGCATTGATGCAAGTTCCTAGTTATCCCCTTATTTACTTCTTGAATATTCCATATGGATTCATTGAATGTACTGATCATCCCTAGAGGCTAGAAGTGGCCAGTTCTTATAGTTCACGAAATGATTGAAGTTTGAGTACTCTGTCTTTGGTAGCTACTTCATAATCAGATTTCCATCCTGAAGCAAAATGGAGGATATAGTTGTCACTATCAAAACTTAATAACCTCAACCCCCTCCCAATCTGTCTCCCCACTGTGCAGTATTATTTATATGGTAGCTTAATGAGCGGGCCCTATGTTCATCTCTTTCTCTTTTCCATTAAATTTCATCAATACAGATCTCATTAATGATTAAATGTACTCAGGCTATCAACGGAGTACAAAAAGGAGAGACCGCTGCAATGCTCCTATCTTCTAGCTCCTCATATCACACTACTCTCGGTTCCTCTCGTCAGTCAAGTGGAAGCCTATTCACTATTTTCCTCACAGCTCCAGTGCAGGCTTTCTGTTTACTGCTTGGTATTTCAGGTTCTGACATTGACATGGTGCGTATAATGTTGACACTTGGTCTCTTCTTAATAAGATTGGTTATTTAGTTTTCTCCTAACTTTTGTGGAACGAATTCAGGAAACATTTGACAAGGCAGAGAAGCTTCTTTCCAGTTCGTTAAGTGAATGGGGGTCTACTTTGGTGACATTGGACACTATTGATCCTGTTTGGGCACAGATTTTGAGTGACCCCTTCCTAAGGCGACTCCTTTTGAGGTACTCCTCTATTTAACCTTTGTTCTTATGGAGTAGTTTACAATGTGTAGGCCTACAGTCTCTAGTGTTCTCTTTTATTTCAGTATTATTTTTATCAATAGTCAGCTTCGACTGCTCTTACAAGAAATATTTTAGTGTGAATAAATGCATCATGATTTCTGCACGAGGATGCACTTTTGATTAAACTTGAAACTGGCACATATTTTGACAGAAATGTTTTGTGGTACATGTTCTTTCTTGCTATATGCACAATGCTAGAGGATTTAATGTTCAAAATCTCAGTCACAAGTTTTGTTGGTCAAGGCACCCATAAAGAGGTGTATTTGAGCTTAAATGCTTAACCTGTTTACATGGAAGGTTTAAATTTGTTATTTCATTGTCCTTGGGCGTTCGGATAATTGATGTGAAGTGTCAAATAGGTTCGACTGGGCTGGGTAGACTTATTCGAGCTCAGGCAGGACTGAAAGGTCTTTTCCGAGCTCACCGCAACAAGTTTGTCATGCACAAAATTTCAACTTCAGCATAAGCTATTCTTTAAATGTATTTGAGTTTAAGATTTGAAAAGTTGAGGGTACATAAGTTCCAATCCGACTCCATCTTGAATGTTAGTGTTTAGGGTTTTGGTTAATATAGCGCTCATAGATCTAGTTTTAGTTAACATACGAGGGACGCCTAAAACTCATTGGTCTAATGGACTTTTTATTTGAAGGACTTTCCACTGATTGGATACTAAACTACAAGTCTGCAAGTATCTCTCTGGCAAGGTGTCCTGGTGGGCAGTTGCCATTTTGCAACTGGACATTCTTGATTTTTTGTTTTTGGTTTTTATCATCAATGGTCCCTAAAGCATTCAAAACTCATAAATTTAGCCCCTTTACTTAAATATCAGTCAATCATCCCTATACTTCGTTACCACACATCATTGTGATCCTTTCCATTAGATTTTCAGTTAAATACTAGTCATTTGCAGCGCACATGACCTCTGTTTGAGGAGAGCAACTTACATTGAATGGGTTCACTTCCACGTGGCATCCTGATCCAGTAATACATTGCCATGTGGAGGAAAACTTGCACATGGCAATACATTATTAGACAAGGGACACCACGTGGCAGTGAACGTGTTCCATGTAAGTCATTCTCCTGTTTGAGGGGCATTTTGGTGAAACTAATACTCTACAGTTCTTCTTATCACCAGTCAGAACACCATCGAATTCCTTTCCTAGTTAATTTAATGTAATATATAGTATTTGTATGTGAAAATAGAACTCTCCTACAGTTCATTCTAATGCAAAGGACAGTCCTGAATCTTCTGTGGCTGCAATTATTTGAGAAAATAAAGGAATACTTAGGTTTTCATGAACAGAGATAGGGTGGAAGGGAAACACAGTGGTAAGGTGGTGGCAGACAGTGGTAGGAGAGAACTGATTATACCAAATATACCCCTTAAACAGAGGTCATGTGCGCTGCACGTGATAAATTTAAAAAAACATTTCATGGAAGTACCACATTGATGTGTACCAAAGTGTAGGGATGATATTTATTGATTTTGTAAGTTCAGGTACCCATTTGATGTGTTTCACATAGCTCAGGGACCATTGGTGATAAACCCTTAGTTTTATTTCTTCAACCCGTACACAAATGTTTGCGTATTCATGTCTTTGAAAGTTTGCTGAAATTAACAATTGTCAGCGCTTTATATTATTAGATGCTCTCAAATGGGTTGACCTTTAATTTGCCGATAATTTGCTAGAATTGTTATGTTCTAGGCAGCGTTCCTTGTGTTCCCTGTGTGTGAAACATGTTAATGTGTATAATTTTTGTTTCTTCCTTTAGGTTCATATTTTGTCGGGCTGTGCTATCACTCTTTGCTCCAACCTTCGATAAGAAGGAATTTATTCCAAAGTGTACGCCATGTCTTCCAGTGTCTGTCTCGCCAATGTCAACGGCTTGTCAAACTGTAATTTTACAGACAGCAAACATCTTTGGAGCGACCAACAAGTTCATCTTCTCAGAAGGACTTGAACTCCCCGAAAATAGACAGGGCGATACAGAGTCAATGTCATGTTCATGAATCATACAGGGGTAAAGCGCATTATAGCTAGACAAGTTATTGGTGGGTGAATTTGTATTCGTGATTTGGACTCGTGGTGCCAAGACTTTCCCGATACCTTGTGTGGGTTTTGTATAAGAAATGTTTTTGGCATCCTGAATTTGTAATATTTGTGAGATAAGTTGGACTTTAAATTTGATGTCTGCTTAAATGAGAAGCTCTTCCTTGTGTGTACGGTGGCAACCCGAGCAACCCGTCCTAATTGATTCGGGTTGACCCTTTTTCAGTTTTAATAGTAAAATTTTTTTGCAAACCAACCTTTGAATTTTAGACGTAGGATTTGTATCCGTGAACTTGCATGCCACGAGATGTCATGTCATTTATCCTTCTGCATAGAATATGTGGTTGAAAGATTATAGTTTCTTATTCTTTTATATAAAAATACTAATTATACGGTTTGTATAATGACTCCCATTGCATAAAATCGTCATTCTGCCATTTGCATAATCACAAAAACTAGAAAATAAAGAGGGATGTTTTGAATGTCGTATGAACTTATGCATTATTTTCAATTTCTTATATGAACTAAAATTTTAAGTAATTTGTCCTATCGTTTTTTTGAAAGTATTATTTTGCTACATTACTCTAATTATGTTAAGTTTTCTATCTAAAAGTTATGTGACTTGCCCATGACTTGTTTTTAAGGTTAATTTGGACATATCAATTCCCTGCTCCCTGTCAAGATTTTTCTGAAAATTTTGAAGTTATTTCGAACATTTCAACTCCTTTTTTAATAGATACGAATGACTGTGTTGAATTGTCAAAGCTTACAATTAGTTAAAATTCATGTTAGTGAGCAAATGTCTTTTATGGTTGCTGACAATAAGTTTTTGAAACTCGCATGTTTTTTTTACCAACCAAAAGTGTTGGGTTCGTACTAAGAAAAAGTAGAGAACTTGTGAAAAAGAGGTTAAAAGTCATGAACCTATGTATTCCCCCACATAATATATATCTATGTATAAGAATAAATAAATAAATAAAAAACCTTGCGAAAATGTCTCAAAAGTTCGAAATAAACCTTGAACATAAGTCATGTGCATTGCCAATTATTTATTTTGAATGTAAAACTTATCAGAGTTAGTGAAATGACAGATTAATAATTTCAGAAAATTGATATGACAAAACACTTAAATTTTTAGTTTATATTACAAATTAAAATAGAATGTATAAGTTCATATGACATTTCAAATACTTTCCCAAAATAAAAATTATGAATGAGAGTATAGTTATCATCAGACTATTTATATAAAGGGAAAAAAATAGAAATTAGTTGTATGACCCCACATCGAATTTCAAAGATTTGTACCATCTATTTTTACAAAATTACTTGGAGTTTATCTCAAGAGTAGTTTTCATATTTACAAAATCACTTTGGAGTTTATCTCAAGGGTACTTTTGCTATTTAAAAAAAATGTTGTACGGAAAGTGGAGTTCTAATAAATTTTTCCAAAAGGAAAAGGGAAAATAAGCAAACAGGAATTCGATCTAAAACAACAGGAAACCAGGATCATACCCTTTGACCGTAGAAATCTTTTTGAAAGGCTAATCTGATGGTTTTGCATAGATGCATAAAGGAGCTGAAAACGCTCACAAGTCCCACCTCTCTACATAACATTCCCTTATTGCCTTATAATTTTCCAGTTGTCTACATGAATCCCATTATTTTACACCCAAAACTCACACAAGTAACACCAATATATATAAAGCTGCCTCTTCATCCCTAAAATATAGATCATTCATAAAACTACTAATTAAGCGTCCGACCGGAGAATTTCCTTTCATTAATCTGGCAGAGGATTTATCACAAAGAGAGGAGTGACTAGCGAGAGACGAAAGAAATCGGAGATGGTAATAGACATTATCAAGGTGCTTGTTCATAACTTTGACGTTCTTGCAATGCCTGTGGTTTCTATTGTTTATCCACTATATGCGTCTATCAGGGCACTCGAGACCATGTCTAATATTTCGACGATCGACAATGGCTTACTTACTGGATTCTGTATTCTATGATCACAACGTTTGAGCTCACCTTTTCCAAAGTCATCGAGTTCATCCCAATCTAGTCATATGTTAAGCTGATTATGTATTTTTGGTTGGTCTGCCCACGCTTCAGCGGGTCGACATATATTTACCAGAATTATGTTAGACCTTTCTATCTCAACCACGTCACAGAGATTCCTGTGTTGGAAGGAAGAAGCAACGTCACATGCAAAACGCCGGAGACAGGTAGTACTGCATCGGAAAAAGTCTGCAGGAACACATTTGAAACCCCGGAGAGAAGAACATCGGGAAAAAGCAAGAAGAACACATTCGAAACGCCGGTGATAAGTAGTACATTGAAGAAAAACGTGGCAACATTAACAATCCATTAGATGGAATTAGGCATATGCTTGTTTTTTCAGAGTTATGTATTTCATTCTCTATTATAGTGTGGAGTAAGTTCGTAAAAAAACCATAGTTCATGCTATTGAGACGTACGTATAATCAATTGTATTTTTATTTTTGGTACAAATTATACTTAGTTACTTTCGTCAAGTACTTGTAGATGTTGACAAGCTGGAGAGAGAGGGAAAGTTTCAAACCTAAGACGCATGGAGGGGAACTCAACACCCTTTCTATTTGGATATTGGACCGCATATGCGTGAGACTTCTATAGCTGATATACTTTTAAATTGTTTATGCATGTCTTTGTTGTTGTTTGGACCCAAAATGACATTTTTGGGGTGAGCCATGTTTGGCCTCAGTCCAATAAGAGATATCATGAATATTCCCCACCAAGGGCCTGGCCTAGTGGAATTTGGCTGGGTCCTATTGAAAAATGGTTTTATCTAGATGAGGGTGAGTGGTTGAATCCTAAGACAATAAGGAATCCTTAGAAACTAGTTATGCTTCGAATCAGAAAAGATACCAAAGATCAAGAGTTAATCTGTGTTTACTGAATAACATAATTTATTAGAATAAGTCATTTACATTCCTGGATATGTCTGTCCGTCTGTCTGTCGTTTTCCCCCTTTACTTTTCAGTTGGACACACAGTTTTACACTGACACCCTCAACACATCCTCTCAGATCATATCTGACTTGGATAACTGCGCAGCAATTACTGGATCCTTTGCGGTTTTGCTGCTCTCGTTTTTGCTCCCACTACAATCTGTGAATCCGTGACAGACACAGACAGACAGCACCCAAACAATCAGTCTGAATTCCTCCAAATATCCCCCGCCCGTGACTTTCCCCTTTCCCTCGTGACTCCTAATTTCCTAAATTCGAACCAATTAGAATCCACAAAAATCAAATCGCGACGTCGGATTACTTTCCGAATTCCAAATATGACCAATTAATTCCGCACCCCAATCATTCAATGACCTTCAATTTGCACAGAAAACCCACCAAATTTATAAACCCACCACCATGCTGCTCCTCCAGACCCAAATCCCTAATCCTCATTCTCCTCATGGCCTCCCTCCTCTTCCTTTCTCTCCTCTCCCTCACTCTCTTCCTCTCTCTATCCTCCGCTTCCCGCCACCGTCCTCCCGGTCACTCTATCTCCCCTCATCCCCAGATCCAGCTAGTCATGCAAGGCCACGCGCTTCCCCGAAGCGTGCCAAGCTTCCCTGGGCAAGGTCCTCACTGACCCAAATGCCACCCCTCTCGAGACCATCCATTTCGCCGTCCAGGTCGCCGACGATGGCCTCAAAACGGCGCAGGGCATGGTCCACACCATCCTGGACTCGTCCGCAGGGAACATAAACCGCTCCACCGCCGCGAAAAACTGCCTGGACGTCCTTGGCAACTCCCACTACCGAATTTCGCTCAGCCACCGATGGATTGTCACGTGGTCGCGTTAAGAACGCACGTGCCTCCATGAGCGCCGCGTTGCTCTACCAGTACGACTGCTGGTCGGCTCTCAAGTACGCAAACGACACCCACATGGTGAACGAGACGATGTCGTTTCTCGACTCGCTGATCGGCAAATCCAGCAACGCGCTCAGCATGATCGCGTCGTACGACAACTTCGGAAACGAAACAAAGTCGTGGGGCCCGCCGAAAACGGAGCGGGACGGGTTCTGGGAGCGGGTCTCGGGCGGAGGGTCCGACCAGGGATTTCGGGGCGGGATTCCGTCAGGTTTAAAGGCGGACGTGACGGTGTGCAAGGAGAATTCGTGCGATTACAAGACGGTGCAGGAGGCTGTGAATGCCGCGCCGGATAACGCGGGAGATAAGAGGTTCGTGATTGGGATAAAGGCGGGGGTGTACGAGGAGACCGTAGGGGTGCCCTTAGAGAAGCGGAACGTGGTGTTCTTGGGTGACGGGATAGGCAAAACCGTCATTACCGGCTCATTAAATGTGGGCCAGCCCGGAATTTCCACCTACAACACTGCCACCGTCGGTATGTTTACTACGCAATACGTATCACTTTTTGTATTTTGATTTGATTTTAATTTTTTTTCATCTGCCGTCATCTAGTGATAATTCTTTTTATTTATAAATGAAATGTCATACGTTCGATTATCGTTAAGTTCAATTTTGAACTGTGGTATCGTATGTTTGAAAAAAAATAAAATAAAATTCTAGGTCAGTTTTAGTTTTAAGATTTTTAAAATATGACGTCATATTTGGTAAGTTGAAAATGCAGTACGTGCTGGATCACACTCTTATGGTGTGACCCCGCACCCACGTAATGGCAGAGGATGGGTGGGTGGTGACATGCTGGAGCACATTATTTTGGTGCGGTCCATGATTGCACGCGATTGGAATGTATTCGTAGAGTATAGGGAAGTAGGCGTAGTTGGTAGCTTTTCGTAGTTCTAGTGGGTTGCTTGTTGTCCAACTGCGACCATATTTTTTGCGTCGTTCTCACATGTGAGACCCGATGCATAACACAATGTCGTTAGTAAATGTGATACATGTAAACATTATTTGTTAGTAAATGTGATGTGGGTAGCGTTATTCGTCAGGATGGATGGAGAGGCATAGGGAATTAGAATAATTTGAGAGGCATAGTCTATGGTACGAAGATTTCCAGAATTTAGCTGAGGACCGCAGTACTTGTCGTATTTTGTGCACGACTCCTGGAGTTGTGATGGTATTGCCGAGGAACGTCTTTATCTTCATGGAATCGTCTTGACCATTAGTGTGCACAGCCCTGAATCCTTCCGGTTTAAGTTGCAATTAGCCTTCGCAGCTGCATATGTTTTCTATCGTTGCTGACATTTTCCACAAATCCGGCCATTACTTTTGTACTTTCCACAAATGGGCCATATATTGGGATGACAATGCAAGGAACAACATATTATGAAAGCATCATTTGTTCGTCGAGTTTTCTTGTGTACTCCTTGATTGCATCTTTACTCAGATGCTGATTGTTTGATTATCTCATACATCACAGGAGTTAACGGTGATGGGTTCATGGCTAGTGGTCTCACAATCCAGAACACCGCAGGTCCCGATGCTCACCAAGCAGTTGCTTTCAGATCTGACAGTGATCTATCTGTAATCGAGAACTGCGAATTCATCGGCAATCAGGACACTCTCTATGCTCACGGCAACCGCCAATTCTACAAGTCGTGCACCATACAAGGCAATGTTGATTTCATCTTTGGTAACTCAGCTTCCATCTTCCAAGACTGCACCATCCTTGTCCGTCCTAGACAACTCAACCCCGAGAAAGGCGAAAACAATGCAGTCACAGCCCAAGGAAGAACAGACCCTGCGCAGTCAACGGGTTTTGTATTTCAAAACTGCTTGATCAACGGCACGGAAGAGTACATGAAGTTATATCGGAGCAAGCCCAAAGTGCACAAAAACTTCTTGGGGAGGCCGTGGAAGGAGTACTCGAGGACGGTGTTTATAAACTGTAATATGGAAGCTCTTCTAACACCACAAGGGTGGATGCCTTGGAGTGGAGATTTTGCTTTGAAAACCCTTTTCTATGGCGAATTCGGGAATTCGGGTGCGGGTTCTGATTTGTCCCAGAGAGTGACCTGGAGCAGCAAGATCCCACCCGAGCATGTTAATGCGTATTCTCTGCAGAATTTTATCCAGGGAGATGAGTGGATTAATGCATGAAATATTAGCGGGTTTTTAAATTCCCCTTTTTAATAACAAAATACTAGTTAGTGAGTGCAGTAGGAACGCAATACATTAGCAGTGGAAGCATATTGTTTCAATCCCCAACTTTTGCTATGTTATCTTACATATATAGAATGTGGAATTTCCTTTAAAACCCGTAATTTAATACATGAAAATCATGTGGCAGATCGACAAGGGAGCTAGTTGATCCGGTACTCTTTCTTTTGTTCTCCATTTCCTTGATACTTATCATGTTAAGTAAACGTTAAGCATCTAGACATTTAAGCTAAGGTGCGGGTATTTTGCTTCACACCTACTTAAGGTTTAACAGGCTTTGAACCAATGCAACAATATTCTTCTAATAGAGGAATGTAAATTATCCAAATGTAAATGAGATTTCATATTTACATCTCTCCTATTAAAGTAAATTTTTCTTTCACATTTACCAAGAATATAAAATGGGATGTAATTATGACTTTCACGTCTCAAATTTGTGTTTTCCCATTTGAGATGCTCTAGTGATAAGTTTCAAGAGACTTCATCTTAGGGCTGGTTTGATATTGCTGTACTTTAAAAAAAACTGCTTCTGCTGTGCTGTGAGAATAAGCAGCTGTGAAATAAAGCAGCAGAGTGTTTGGTAAACTTTTTTGTAAAAATGCTTTTGAAAAAAAAAAAACAGTATTATAGTGTTTGATAAATTTTTATGTAAAACAGATGTGAAAAAAAAAACTGGTTTTTCAAAGCTGGGTTTTGCAGCTTTGTGTTTTTGGTTTTTTTTCATCCAAAACTGTGAAAAAAAGCTGAAGTTGAATGTTTACCAAACATAAAAAAGCTCCCAACTTTTTTTTATAGCTATTTTTTTTTCAAAATCACCTCAATACCAAATTAGGGCTTAATACCCTACTAACAAAAATAATGTAAATACTAATTTAGGCTATTCAACATCAAATTGGAGTAACTTAGAGAAATAAGACTAGTCTAAAAGTAATTTGTCATCGGTAAGTTGTTTAGTAATCAAACTCTCATGAATTCATTTTTGTTGTTTTATTCCTGGTAAAACCACTTTGAAGCATTGACTAACGTAAAAAGTGTAATATTATTGTTTGGGTTAATATTTGAACATTGGATTTAAATGAAGGAAAGCCCAAGGATGCCAACTAAAAGGGGACTTGGCTGAAGCCCAGCACCGAGCCCAAAGACAAATTGAAGCCTTCTCAACCAAAATACAAGCCACGTGCTTACCATTGAAAAGACAAGTGATGGAGACTCCTACTTGTCATGCTCCGATCTCAACATACGTCCAAGATCAACACGTGACGTCACCAAATACCTGTATCTCTAACATACCCCGCCACCGGGTAATGGCAAAACACAACTTAAGATCCAACTGCGCAATATTTCTTCGTAGACTTTATGGTTGCATCTAACATCCTCGTTAGACTGCCTACGTACCCTAAATAGGGATCAAGTCATTCGTAGTTCATTATTTCACTACACTCAAATATTCATCACATAAATTGCTATATCTCAGCAATATACTACAATGCATATCATGCAATATTTCAAAGAACAACGATGAAGCACAATCATATTTTCTAGCTATATGGATCAACAAATCTACTCATAGTGCCCATAATCACAATCAACATAATTCCACATTCACATCATCAATAAAACACAATACACCAAAATGCAGGGCTAGTGTAACACAGTTCGGCTGAAGTCTACAACTCTAAAGCTGAACTTGAATCTAATGAACCAACAAGTCAAATGATGCGATTTCGGATCACTCAACGAAATCCATCAACATCAGGCTTCAGACCATTCAATGGAACCAAAACATCAAGTAAGAGGAATTTCGGACCATCACTCAACGAAATCGTGGAGTGAAGTAGGAGGGATTCTGGACCATCACTTAATGGAATCCAAACCAGGATACGATTCCAGACCATCACTCAACAGAATCGTGCAGTAGAGTAGGAGGGATTCCGGACCATCACTCAACGGAACCCAAACCAATATACAATTCTGAACCATCACTCAACGGAATCCGAACCAGGACATAATTCCAGACCATCACTCAACGGAATCGTGGAGCACAATGCATAACAACTAATCAATGAAATAATACATAAATCGAGTTACTCAAGTTATACAGGCTCAACGAAACAAGAAATGAAATAATGAAACGAGGGGTGAAACACGTTTCGAAGCAACAAACCCCATCGATGGCTAAATATAAAAATTAACAATTTATAGGAAACATAATTATAAAACCATTTCATATTCACATATATTAAAGTCACTCACATTTCATCATATCATACCACCTATGCAAATCAACCACCTTTCAAATATGCACGTCAAATCACATATCACGATCATCATCAGTATACAAGCCAAATCATGTTTAATAAACATAGGTATATGGCTAATATATATATATATATATATATATAATCACATTTCAATAGAAATCACATTATAAAACCAAGTCATATTCACAGATGATACCAATATAAGAAATCAAGGTAATAACCATATCACATATGTTAAAGTCACTCACAAAGATAAGCTGCAAAGCCTCATAGGGCTTCCATTAATACTAATTTTAACTAAATATTATGTTCTATAATGCATTGAGGTTTGGTGACGATCCAATGGTCGGATTATTGTCAATCACCCAAACAAGTGGTGGTCCAATTTGATCACCACACCAAACAATGGAATTTTGGGAAACCGAGCTAGATATAGGTTCACAAGGTCACTAGAAGGTTGGTACCTAGACAACACTCATGGACGGTCCCACGCACTGCCACACGTGGTAGTAGTCAAGGTGGAGGGTTTAGAAAGCCCGAATTTTCCAACATTAACTAAATGAGCTCAAATTTATGTGGTAGCTAGAGTTCAACAAAGGAAACACTTTTCACAACTAGGCCAACAATACATTCTAACCGGAAACCATCCAAATTCAACGAAGAAAACCGGATTTCTAGGGTTCTAAACACCCAACTCTAAAATGAATACAAAAGCACAAATTAAGCATACCAACTTGAAGATTATGCAGAGTAGATGAAGTTTCATACTATAGTTTAGTAAAACAACTTCATATGTCCGTAATTATACAATTATAATTCGAATTCGCAAACGGCTTTCGCCTATACGTTCGTGGTTTCAAGATTTATTCGAAAATATAAATTGTGACCTCCAAAGGTCTACGAATTTTAAACAATTAATTTTCAAACTTCAAACTTTGTAACTAGTTTAGATAAAATCTAAATTCAAACAATTTAAAATAAATTCTCGAGAAATAATATAAAATCTCAATAATACAAATACATAGATTATAACAATGAAATCCAGGAACGGGATTTCACACTACTACCAACCAAAGAATACTTTCTCGTGGCATTCCAAGTAAAAACTGATAACTCACTAACCTTCAAGTGCTTTCGGGCAAGAACAAAGTTATAGCAGTCGGGTTAATTTGCCTATAAAAGGAGGAAGAGTTCCCAGAGACAAGGACACTCAACCAATCAAACAAACAAACATACAAACTCTACTCTTAAGCCAGATTTGCATCCAAAAACTGAAATCAACTTCGATTCAGTCCTTTTTAGTGACAAGCTATCTCTTGTTCAGTTTAAAGCTCTGCTGTCTCCCTTAATGGAGTAATATCAATTCCTTTGTGTAAACTTGTTTACCATCCATCCCTTTTTTAGCATATAAACCCCTGTTAATTCAAAGAGAAGTGATTGCAAGAGATTCAACCTTGACAGACAAGGTGAAATCTTGCCTGACGCTCTTTGTTTGTTTTCTAAATTTGTAGATCTATTACTTAATGCATTCTCCAATATGTATTCAAGTCATATCCACTTGCTTTCCTACTTTAAGAGTCTTTATTTGTATCTGGATTTGGTTAGTCTAATGAACATGTCTTCATTAAAAGCAATATGGGGCCAAACAAATGACTGAAGGGGCTCTAGACTCCCTTCATTTGAACATACAAGATTATAAACTAAAAGTCTTTGTTTACAAGGCAAGAAAAAGAACTTAATGTGGACTTAACCCATCCACGACAATCATTTGATAACAAGAAGTTCGAGTAACTTAGGGTGCAAGTAATCGACTAAAAATAAACTTGTTCTACATCTATTATACTAAGATAGCAGTGGCATGCTTAGCACTTTGTTAGTTTTGATTGCGAGCCTCAAAGCCTACACCTAAAGCCTCACAAAGGCACCTTTCAGAACTAACTCCATCCTCTTCTTGTACCACATCAATAAGCAAGAGCCCAACTACACATCTAAAATGCCAATCCTTTAAGGAGCTGTGCTGAGGTTCGAGGACCCTTCTCCAGAGAAATCTTCGCCTGAATAATTATAAACTCGTGCTTTCTCTTTTTTTTCACAAATATGACCGTCGGCTATAAAGATTACCATATATAACAAAAGCCTTTGACTTAACACTGGAATATATACATCACTTACCCCCTCCAATCAAAGAAGCTGCAATCCCTGCAACTGAAAATTCTTTTCTTATCCGTCCCAAAAATAAATAAAACCAACAAAAATCAGCAACAAATCAAATCCCCACATATCACATGACTTTCCATATCCCATTCTATATTTCACCCATCAATGCCGCCCCGCCTTATTTAGACCTCCATGTCCATGGCAATGCCCACCTTATTTAGACCTCCATCTCCATGGCAATGCTGTCTTCCTCCTCATTGTCCTCATGGCTTCCCTCGTCTTCCTCTTTCTCCTCTCCCTCACTCTCTTCCTTTCTCTCTCCTCCGCCAACCACCACGACGACCACCGTCACCGCCTCCTCACCTCCCCACAACCTCACATCCAACAAGCCTGCAAAGCCACGCGCTTCCCCGACGCCTGTCAAACCTCCCTGACCAACCTCGTCACTGAACCCAACACCACCCCACTCCAAACCATCCAATTCGCCGTTCAACTTTCCGGCGACGGGGTCAAGACGGCGCAGGGAATGATCAAGACTATCCTGGACTCGTCCCCGGGCAGCCAAAACCGCACGACCGCCGCGAATAACTGCCTCGACATCCTCGCTAACTCCCAGTACCGAATCTCTCTCGCGACCGACAGTCTCTCACGTGGTAAAATAAAAAATGCACGTGCTTCTATGAGCTCCGCATTGCTCTACCAGTACGGGTGCTGGTCGGGCCTCAAGAACGTCAACGACACCAGCATGGTCAACGAGACGATGTCATTTCTCGACAGTTTGATCGGAAAATCCAGCAACGCGCTCGGCATGATGGCCTCGTACGACAACTTCGGCAACGACACAAAGATGTGGGCCCCGCCGAAGACGGAGCGAGACGGGTTCTGGGAGCGGCTGGAGCACGGAGGTCCCGACCCGGGATTTCTGGGCGGGGTGCCGTCGGGTTTAACGGCGAACGTGACGGTGTGCAAGGAGAAATGGTGTGATTACAGGACGGTGCAGGAAGCGGTGAATGCCGCACCGGATAACGCGGGAAACGAGAGGTTCGTGATTGGGATAAAGGCTGGGGTGTATGAGGAGACCGTGAGAGTGCCCTTAGAGAAGCGGAACGTGATGTTTTTGGGTGACGGGATCGGCAAAACGGTCATTACAGGGTCGTTGAATGTTGGCCAGCCCGGAATTTCCACCTACAACACTGCCACCGTCGGTCAGATTTTCTCCTCAGAGTTTACTTTTATTTGTTTTTCAGAAGTTTCCGTAAATTTGTTGATGTATGTGATGTGACAGGGGTTCTTGGTGATGGATTCATGGCAAGAGGACTCACAATCCAGAACACAGCAGGTCCCGAAGCCCTCCAAGCAGTTGCTTTCAGATCCGACAGCGACCGCTCTGTAATCGAAAACTGCGAATTCATAGGCAACCAGGACACTCTCTACGCACAAGGAAACCGCCAGTTCTACAAGTCGTGCACCATCCATGGCAACGTTGATTTCATCTTCGGAAAGTCAGCTTCTATCTTCCAAGACTGCACCATCCTTGTTCGTCCGCGGCAACTCCTACCCGAGAAAGGCGAAGACAATGTCGTCGCAGCCCACGGAAGAACAGACCCTGCGCTGGCAACGGGTTTCGTGTTTCGAAACTGCTCGATCAACGGCACGGAAGAGTACATGAGGTTGTACCGGAGCAAGCCGCAGGTGCACAAGAACTACTTGGGGAGGCCGTGGAAGGAGTATTCGAGGACGGTTTTTATAAACTGCAGTATGGAAGCTCTTATTACACCCCAAGGGTGGATGCCTTGGAGTGGGGATTTCGCTCTCAACACCCTTTATTTTGGGGAGTTCGGGAATTCTGGGGCGGGTTCTGATTTGTCCCAGAGATGGAACTGGACTAGCAAGATCCCATCTCAACATGTTAATACGTATTCTGTGCAGAATTTTATTCAGGGAGATGAGTGGATGTCAACTTGACAAATTATTATAGGCCACATTTTTTTTGGTAAAAATTATAGGCCACATTTTAATAATGAATATATCAATGGGTAATGCAGGTAGACCTAAACCAAATGAGTAATGTTATTCGTACCATATTTTTATATCATATTTTTATATCATCTTAGATGGTATTTGATGTGGACAGTCACATCATTTGAAAAATTTGCAAAATCCAAGGAAATGAAGGAGAAAGACTCCTCGTATACCATAATCATCATTTAATTAACTAGTTTTTCTTAATTATTAGTTTATTAAATAATGAACTAAATTTAAAAATCTGATTAATTCAAATGATGTGGCTGTCCACATCAAATGTCATCTAAGGTGGTATGAAAATATGGTACAAAAACATGGTATGAATAGCATTACTCAAACCAAATTTGCAGATCAAATTACGTGTCACTAATAAGAAATATGGGGAGGCCCAATAGTTAGAGACAAATTTCAAGCTTATATTTCACACGGCACGTCCTGTGTTTGATTTCTAGCGCTGATAAATTGTTTTATAATGGTAAAAAGAAAGCTGAAATGCCTCTGTGAATCTTTATAAACCATTATCGGGTTCCCTTTAAAAAAAGAAAGGATTCTCATACACTACTTTTTGTCTACTTTTTAATTTGTTTAATATAAAAACTAAAAGTAAAAACAGGGGTTATTGTGTGGGTGAAAAGAATAAGAACGTAAAAATCATTTTTGTGTCAGTTATGCATTTCATAGTAGGTCGGAAAAGTTGATTTTGATTTCTATTTTATAAGAATCAAACTTATAACCAATAGTAGCCAGTAGTGAGTGTAATCAAGATGAAGATAATATGAATATCAAGTATCCAAGAGGGTTTGTGTGGCTTGGATATCCTTCGATTCCTTGTAGCCCCCTTTCCAAGCAACTGGGAAATCATTGACTGTTATCTCTATAACCGAAAATTTGATTTATAAAGAGTTGAAACATACAAATAACTCATTGCATACGTCTTACAAAGGTAGGGTTTATACAGGTTATTGACTAGCACTATCACAAATAATGCAACAGAAACAAAGTAACCGAAGCACGCCTTGACCTTGTTATATGCCCGCCCAGAAACCTCCTCCAGTAATAAACCACGTCAGCTGGATGAACATGAAGATGAGAATCCGATCACTTCATAAGTTTTTTTGGCCGGAATCATTCACGTCAGAAATCTCACCGGAAGAAGCATTAAAACACCAATAGGAACAGCTAATGCTAGCTAAGTCGGTGAGAGCTCATCTCCCATCAAGACCCTTGTAAGCGACCCCATAGCAGCACCAACGTCAATTGTTAGTAATTGAGTTCCTTGCGACACATCCTGCCAATCAACTTTTCGAAGAAACAGAAAATGAAAAGTAATGAAAAGGAAATTAGAACGACTATTTAAAAAATTAGGAGTCGACATCCTGCTCATCATTAAGTACAAATAATGATGGAGACGGCCACAGATATCGATAGATATCCTATGCCGTAATTGGTTTTGTGGTGGTGGCAACTAAAATTGGTACGGTTAAAGAAGGCTTGGTACTCGTTCTGAATGTTTTTATTGTCGAAGTTCTTATTGTATCAGAAGATATGGCGTCAAGTTGCACGGAGTTTCGAGATATACCTTCTCATTTTCTGATTGATCAGCACTCCTTATCACCCGTCTTTTGAGTTCTGTCAGCTCATTCCATAAACATCAAAATGCTATATCTTATTTGATTCTGAGTCTTCAAATTTCACACTTGAAGCAGTCTGCTCATCAAAGTTCGTTATCCTGTATGAAGGAAGCAAACATTAATCAAGCAACTTGGTTTGAGTGATTGTACATTTTCAATTTCCAACAACAAAGTAGATGTGCTCCTGAATCGAGTAGGCAATTAGCAATTAGCAACAAGGAACAATCTCGTAAATAAGAGATTCAAGAGCTCAGTTACAAAGGATCTCAACACATGCTTTTTTGGTTTTTTTGGTTTCTTTGCATTGGGAATGAAAATAAACAAAAGGATAATGCTTTAAACCAATAAAAATTTAATAAAAAACATTTAATAATTAATTAAAATTCTGAAGGTGTCAAATTTGACAGCAAGGGAGAGATATGTCATTCCATGTCATACCACATCAGATTTGGCTTCTTGGTTGGAAAACATTAATGCTGTCTTTTGTTAGCGTTATTGCTGATTTGGACATTTTGATATCTCATTTGAATATGCCCTCGTTGTTAAATAAGTCAAAAAGATCAAAATTTGAGCCAGCAGCATACACAATCTTCTTTTAGATAACGAGAGTTCCAGTTAAACGCTAATACATTTTGGCAATTAGATAGTGCAAAAGGTAGGTAAAAAGCAAATGCATATAATGTACATATCATTGTGAAAATACATATTAATCCACAATCAACTCAAGGTTGCGCTTTGCAGTTGGAGGGTGCATAAAGGAGCTCCACAATCTCCGAGCAGCTCTAAAAATAAATTTTTGAAATGAGATATCCTTATCATACAAAATGTATTGAACCCAACCAAAAAGGAGAAAGGAAAAAGGAAAAAGAAAAAAGAAAAAAGAGTTGGGTTAAATGGAACGCCAAAATCTTAAAGTTAACAGAATGGTCGCCTACGTGGACAAGACCTAAAGCTTCGTACCTGTTGCCCTCATTCTCTGTTTTCCCTTTTAAGGAACTGTTCTGCTCGTGAGGAGAGGACCAAGAGCGATTACCTTCCTGGATGACAAGCACACAAGTACAATGGAATGTGGAACCTGTTCATGTAGCTTATCAGTTAAAGTAAGACACTGCAACGATGGGGTTCAGAACTACTGTGTCAATTAACTTTACCATCATGCAAATTTGTTTTACTTCCAAGATCGACATAAACTAATTAATAATATCAATAAATCAACAGAAAAAACAAATTTGCAAAGGCACCTTTAAATAAATCTAGTTGTTCTTTTCTGTACACTATGGTGACAAATCCACCCACTTCCAAGGGCTTGACCTGATTCAACCCCCCGTACCATCCTTATATTGCCCAACAAAAAAAGAAAAAAAAGCAACAAATAGCTTTCTTTTGCGCCGGTAATTATTAAAACGAAATATAGAGCCCATGTGACCATTTACGCATGATTAAATTATTAATCTAAAAGGTTATATGCAGAAACACAACAACAACCAAGCTTTTTCTCACTAGGAGGGGTCGGCTATATGAATCCTATAACGTCATTGTACTCGGTTCTGTGTCACTTCTTTCGTTACATCCAAGTACTACGTCTTTTCTTAGAGTCTCTTCCAAAGTCTTCATAGGTTTTCCTCTACCCCTTCAACCCTGAACCTCAGTCCTGTAATCGCATCTTCTAACGGAAGCGTTAGTATACCTTCATTTCACATGTCCAAACCACCGTAACCAATTTTCTCTTATCTTTCCTTCAATTTCGGCTACTCCTAATTTACCTCGAATATCCTTATTTCTAATTTTATCCTTTCTCGTGTGCCCACACATCCAACTAAGCATTCTCATCTCCGCTACACCCATTTTATGTACGTGTTGATGCTTGAACGCCCAACATTCCGTGAGATAAAGCATTGTCGGCCTTATTGCCGTCCTATAAAAAAATTTCCTTGAGCTTTTGTGGCATATGACGATCACACAACATGCCGGATGCACTCTTCCACTTCATCCATCCAGCTTGTATTCTATGGTTGAGGTCTTCATCCAACTCTCCTTTCTTTTGCAAGATAGATCCTAGATAGCGAAAGCGATCACTCTTTGGCACTTCCTGATCTCCAATCCTCACCCCTAACTCATTTAAGCCTCCATTTGCACTGAACTTGCAAAGGTTAAGATTTGCATTTACTCTTTCCTGAGTTTCATCTATCAACACTATATCGTCTGCGAAAAGCATACACCAAGGAATATCATTTTGAATATGTCCCGCTAACTCATCCATTACCAATGAAAAAAGTTAAGGACTTAAAGATCAGCCTTAATGTAACCCTACAATTATGGGGAAGCTTTTGATTTGTCCTTTGTGAGTTTTTACGACAATTCTTACTTCATCATACATATCCTTTGTAGCTTTGATATATGCAGAAATAATGCCATGAAAACAAACAAAAGATGCGTCAAATATAGTGCACAATGTTAATGGTATAGTTTTCATCACTTCATTCCTGCATCACAGTTTAAAAGGTGCAATCCTCCAACTGCTATATGACAATCTCCAACTATTAGGCGACAAAATTAGTGTTCCGATCGGATAAAAAAACTACTTGGGGAGATGGAATCTTTGGTCCTAATAGCTCTACTATTACAGTAGAAACTATTTAAAAACGGTTACGAGATACTTTGGTCATTAACCTGCTTTAATGTACCCCGTTCTCCCATATGTCCACTAATTTGTTGTGCTTAAAAAATGATGATAAAAAGAACTTTGTCAAAATTATGCGCTACGGCTATGAGAAGAGAATCTCACTGCCTTAACATTAGAAGGGCTCTCCAGCCATTCACCGTATTGGATAAGACTCTACATCCATTGAAAACAAACTTCTAAAACTTATGGGATTGTTTCATAATTGGGAGGTCCTTCCCATTGATTTTGATGCCCAAGGGATACCAGAATTGCCTGGATAAAATGGAAGCCAGTGCAGCTATTCACGGTCTACATGTGGAACTTATGTATATTTAGATACCATATTTGAACCACAAAGCATTATCCACAAGATGGTTATGAAATTACATGCTACCTCTACATACAATCAATAAGAGCTTATTGATGAGAGCCGAGGATAGTATAAGATGCTGCCCCCAATCAGGAACCTGCACATATGGAAACAACTAAATCCACAACCAAACCAACAAAGCAATGTCAAACTTAAGTATCATCTGTCAAAAAATTCCAGGTCTACGGTCTACCTAACAAAGAATTGAGGGCAAGAAATTTTTGCTTGGCCAAGTTTTGTAATTGCAGCATTGCATGTCAGTCAGTCAGTGTAAGCATGAGGAGAGATGTGTCATTTGTGTTGCTAGACCCCAAGTGCGTTCCCTTACTAGGCCTGGAAGCAGATTGAATGCAGCATTAAATCTATATAATCCTCAAATCCATTTAGCAGTAAAGCACGGGTTGCATTCAAAAACAGAGGATGTTACCACCAACGGAACTGGCTTAGAGATAAACCACTCATAAGCTTCAGGTTGCTTGGCTGATAGTTGATCCCGGTCCCGGATAAGCTCTCAAGGGAAGCAGATTCTCTTAATAAACTGCATCAATGCATTAGTTAAACATATAAAAGGAAATCATAGAGTTAATATAATCTATAAGCAACCAAAGTGGATAGAAAGCACACACCAGTTGCATTTGAAGCCTTCGTGCGAGTTAAAATGCATAAATGAAATTTCAAAGTCCCCATAATAGTATTCCAGATCCTGAAAAACAAAGCAGAGCACACATTTCCACTTTCATGTTAACAAATTAAATAACTTAATTTACAGTTAAAAAATAAAATAAAGTTGTTGAAGCTGATATTTAAAACTTTATGGTCTCCTTATTACAACTGTCTATAAAAGGGATCAAATTATGCCATTTTTATGGAAGTGAGTAATCGACAAGTCCTTAATTACACAGGTCTACTTATTAGCAGCACTGGCAATATAGGAAATCAGAGTTTGAATAGACTAACTACAAAACTGATGTTATAAGCTTCAATTTGGTCAACTTCCACAGATGAACTCAGAAGTTTTGAAATACAAGTGGTGCAATACCTCCTTTGTACGAAAACATTTATGTCTCTGTCTCTACCATCCTCTCAGGATGCAATCCCACTTGAAGCTTGCAATAAGGAGTGTCGTAGAAGGCAGCCTTGGCAACTTGGTTTCTCAAGCACCAATAAGCTAGGAGTAGAACTAAATCTTTTTGATTAATTCCAACTCCATGATGTAGACGCTAGTGAAGATGGTGTGTCATCTGTACACTCCAGGCACTGCATAAAGAGAGTTACCAAGAAGCTCACACTTTAAACTAAATAACTGATACCGGGTATCTTTTTAATCCCTTGCTCTTCCATTTTGGTCCTTACTGCAGAAACATCAAACCAGCGGCCTGTTTCTGCATAGATATTGGACAAGAGCACATAATTACCAGGATTTTGGGGTTCAAGCTCAAAAAGTTGATAAGCAACTAACTCTCCTAGCTCAGCATTGCAGTTTAGCTTACAGGCTGAAAGTAGTGCACCCCAAGCACCAGCATGAGGCTCCACAGGCATTGATTGTAGAAGATCATAAGCTGCTTTTAACCGTCCTGACCGGCTAAGAAGACTAATGATACATGCATAATGATCAGGAGAGGGTATTAAACCGTACTTATGTCTCAATGATTCAAAGAAGTGCCAACCCTCCTCAACAAGCCCTGACCGACTACAAACTGTCAGGATGACTGTAAAAGCAACCTTATCCGGAGCCAAACCTTCATTTAGCATCTGTCTGAAGAGGTCAACAGCCTGACCCCCTTGACCATTAATTGACAACCCTTGTATCATAGAACAATACGAAATCAAGTCCCGCTTAGGCATCTCTTCAAACAAACGTGTTGCTCTTTCCATATTCCCACACATTGCATTCATGTTAATCAGAGCTGCGAGAACATGAGCCTGACAAACATCAACGGAGCTCTGGCTCAGGTAAGAATCAACCCATTTAGCCACCTGCAAGCAGCCCACTTGGGAACAAGCTGACATCAAGCTCACCATTATAAACTCATCGGGCTTAACATTCTTCGTACTCATTTCTTGAAATATCTTTACAGCCTCGTTAGGTTGACCATTTTGAGCATACCCTGATATCAATGCTGACCACGCAACGATATCTATATTCGGGGCTTGCTCAAACAAAAATCTCGCAGAAGCCATATCTCCGTACTTGGCGTATCCATCAATCATAGTAGTATAAGAAACCACATCCTTGTCAGGCATATGATCAAAGATCCCCCTAGCATTAACCAAATCCCCCATCTTCACAAACCCACTAATAATCGCATTCCACGACACCACATTTTTCTGGGGCATCTGATCAAACAGCTTGTTGGCCTCCACCAGATCCCCAACACTAGCATACCCAACAACCATAGTCGTCCAAGAAACCACACTTCTCTCAGACATTCTATCAAACACCTTGCGAGCGCAAACAATCTCCCTGCACTTGCCGTACAAATAATCAAACTGGTGCCTACAAACACATCCCCATCAACCCCGCACTGCACCGCCGACCCATGTATCGCCCTTCCTTCCTTTACCCTCCCCTCACTCGCACACGCCTTAAAGAGAGACGGGTACGTATACCTATCCGGAAGGCCTTCCTCCCTCTTCATTCGAACAAACAGAGAAACAATGCCCAAAAAACCAGACCTTTCGCAGTACCCTTTGATCAGACAGTTCCAGAGAAAGGTGTTGGGGCTGAGAACGCGGTCGAAGACGGCGGCAGAGTAAGAGAGGGAAGCGAGGGCGTTGGAGAGGCAGATGAACTGGGTTATGAGGAAGTAATCTTGCTCCAAACCTTTGTGTACAATGTGGGCGTGGATTTGTTGGAGATGGAATTGGGTTTTGCAGGCTTTGAGCAACGTTGCGATTGACGGCAGCAGAAAAGTGGGATGGCGGTTGTTGGGCGGAGCTAGCGATGAGTAGAGGCGGATTGTAGGCATGGGTCTTTCTCTGTTTCAAGTCCAATTACACCGTTAACTTTCAACTTTTGGAATCGGCTTCAAGGAACACATTCTCAGTTTTCCTAAAGATGTTAGGTAGACCTAGCAATTTATTACACGATCCGTTAACACGACACGTAAACGATATGAAAATAACGGGTTTCGGGTCAATACGATAACTAATCGGGTCATTATCGGGTCACACGATAATAACCCGTTAATAACGGGTCCTTAACAGGTTTACACGAAAGTGACACGCGGGTAACCTGTTTCGACACGATAAGAAAAATGTTATTTTGATGATTTTAATTTTTTAAACTACTAAAAAAAACTTATTATAAAATGCAATAGATATAATGAATATGTATATATTGTTTATTAATTATTATTCTATTATTATTCTATATAAATTTTAAAATTTAAGTTTTATTTATTTATATATTTTTATAGTATATTATAGGCAAGGATTGAGATTAAAAATCATAAAACACATTAAAATAAAAATATCAAGTAATTTAAAAATACCAAAAACATAAAAAAAATTATAATAATTAATTTCCCGCCTAATATTTCAAGAGTTTCATCCATTTCCCACCTAATGTTTGGGAAATTTTGCAACCTATATCCATTCATTTCCCGCCTAATGTTTAACCCAAAGAAAAAAAAATAACCAGCTTTTTTTTTTTTCTTTTTTTATCTCTTATAACATTTTAACTTGAATAAAAATAAAATACATAATAAAAAACATAAATGTAATTTTATTATTAAATATCATCACATACTAATTGAAACATAGTCTAATTAACACTTAAAACATATAAATAATTAATATATTTATTCCAAGTCATCAAAACGATAAGATTCACTAACGCTTAAAGTTTATTTATACTTTCATTAAGTATAACATCAATGCATATCCCATCAAAATGATGAAAGTATGAATAAACTCTTAAGTGTTAATGAATTTATCGTTTTGACGGGATACGTATCCTACAAAACTAATTTCAACAATCCAACCGTCAAACTTGTTTATACATACTTCGAGATCGCATACTCCAAAAATTGCAAAAAACAAACATTCAGAGATGAAGTAATGAGACAAAACTTCAATGGTTATAAACGAAAAATCACGATTTAACGGTTATTTTAACTCTGATTTTGATGATTTTGTACAGCTACACTCCTTGACCTTATATGAATACAATGAATGAATTTGATCTTCAATTTAAAATATTTACACTAGTGGATACCACAAATCTTATGTTATACTTAATGAAAGTATAAATAAGCTCTTAAGTATTAGTTAATGTATCGTTTTGATAGGATACGCATCCTATGAAACTAATTTCAATGATCCAACCGTCAAACTTGTTTATACATGTTTCGAGATCGCATACACCAAAAATTGCAAAAAACAAACATTTAGAGATCAAGTAATGAGACAAAACTTTTCGACGGTTATAAATGAAAAATCACGATTTAACGGTTATTTTAACTTTGATTTTGATGATTTTTTACAGCTACACTCCTTGATCTTATATAAATACAATGAATAAATTCGATCATCAATTTAAAATATTTACACTAGTGGATACCACAAAATCTTATGTTATACTTGATGAAAGTATAAATAAACTCTTAAGTGTTAGTGAATCTATCGTTTTGATGGGATACGCATCTTAGAAACTAATTTCAACGATCCAACCGTCAAACTTGTTTATATATGCTTCAAGATCGCATACGCCAAAAATTGAAAAAAACAAACATTCAGAGATCAAGTAATAAGACAAAACTTTTCGACGGTTATAAACGAAAAATCACGATTTAACGGTTATTTTAACTCCGATTTTGATGATTTTTTACAGATACACTCCTTGACCCTAAATAAATACAATGAATAAATTCAATCTTCTATTTAAAATATTTACAATAGTGGATACCTCAAAATCTTATGTTATACTTGATGAAAGTATAAATAAACTCTTAAGTGTTAGTGAATCTATCGTTTTGAAGTGATACGCATCCTACGAAACTAATTTCAACGATCCAACCATCAAACTTGTTTATATATGTTTCAAGATCGCATACGCCAAAAATTGCAAAAAACAAACATTCAAAGATCAAGTAATGAGACAAAACTTTTCGACGGTTATAAACGAAAAATCACGATTTAACGGTTATTATAACTCCGATTTTGATGATTTTTTACAGCTACACTCCTTGACCTTAAATGAATACAATGAATGAATTCGATCTTCAATTTAAAATATTTACACTAGTGGATACCACAAAATCTTATGTTATACCTGATGAAAGTATAAATAAACTCTTAAGTGTTAGTGAATCTATCGTTTTGATGGGATACGCATCCTACGAAACTAATTTCAACAATCTAACCATCAAACTTGTTTATATATGCTTCAAGATCGCATACCCCAAAAATTGCAAAAAAAAAAAACATTCAGAGATCAAGTAATAAGACAAAACTTTTCGACGGTTATACATGAAAAATTACGATTTAACGGTTATTTTAACTCCGATTTTGATGATTTTTTACAGCTACACTCATTGACCCTATATGAATACAATGAATGAATTCGATCTTCAATTTAAAATATTTACACTAGTGGATACCATAAAATCTTATGTTATACTTGATGAAAGTATAATTAAGTGTAGATTTTTAAAACCCTCCAAATCTCATGAACAATGTTATTTATTTGAGTGAAAAATTAATAATAATAAGTGTGAAAAATGTAATCACTCGTAATGAAAAGCTTTACAACTTTCAATAAGGGGTCAACTCCGAAATTTAGTATGTATATACTAATTTAATATTATGGTTTACATTTTTTTGGGTCAAATTATGTTTTTCTTTTCATTTTTATTGATTTAAAATATAATTTTATTAACGGGTAATGGGTCGGGTCATATTACCTGATAATATTAACGGGTTGATTTTGGGTCGGGTCATATTACCCGTTTAATTTAACAGGTATTACACGACACGACCCGTTAAGCAATCGGGTATGACACGAAAACGACACGAACACGAGAAACACGACACGAATGCCAGGTCTAATGTTATGGTACAATTTAATGGCCATGTAACAGCTGAGAGATAAAAATCGGAGGGAAAACTTGCTTGGTTGCCAAGAAAACACCGGGAAAATGGTTACAAAGGCAAAGAATATTTTCTGGGGAAGCCTCAGTCTCACTGCGCGCGGGGCTGTCTGCGTTGTTTGTGCACAAACTACAAAGAGAAGGAAAGGGTGACGTGGCAAAGGAGGGAGGGAGGGATGGAGGGAGGGGGCGCGCGCGATGCGATCACAATGTTTGGTTCTAAAAATTACATAACACAAAGTAACGCCTGGCAATTTCTGACACGGTCTGATAACTCGTTAAATTTTATACCTCTAAAAATTATAATAATTAATATGCATTATGCGGCTCTTTGAAGAAAAAAGAAGGGAAAAATGAAAATTATAAGAAAAGTTGAAAAGGAAACAAAAAAGAGAGCGAAAGATGGGACCTATTTTCAATTTTGCTTGCTACTAGTAGGGTGGGTTTTTCCACCGTAGCCTTTCAAGTGTGCACTTGTTATTGTTAGGATAAGATCCGACAGCTGTGTTCCTGACATGTGTACGTCATTTACCTCTCTCTCTCCTTTTTATCTTGAGAAATTTTTCATTGTAACGGAAACACAAATAGTACACCACGTGTTTTAATAGAAGTGGTGAGAAATTTTTTTTTTTTAAAAAGTTATTAACTTTTTATCACACATATCCCACTATTTTATAATGACACGTGATGTACTACTCCGTGTACCGGTCAATTATACGTACAAAATAAATAAATTTAAATCTACTTAATAAATATATATATATATACACACACCATTGAACTTGATGAGATACGCATTCTACGAAACTAGTTTCAATGATCCAACTGTCAAACATGTTTGTATATACTTCGAGATCGCATACGCCAAAAATTGAAAGAAAAAAAAGAACTTTCTAAGATCAAGTAACGGGACAAAACTTTTCGACGATTATAAAAAAAAAATCACAATTTAACGGTTATTCTAACTCTAATTTTAATGATTTTTTACATGTACACTCCTTGATCCTATATGAATACAATGATTGAATTCGATCTTCAATTTAAAATATTTACACTAGTGGATACCACAAAATCTTATGTTATACGTAATGAAAGTATAAATAAACTCTTAATTGTTAGTGAATCTATTATTTTGATGGGATACGCATTCTACGAAATTAGTTTCAATAATCCAACCATCAAACATATTTGTATATACTTCGAGATCGCATACACCAAAAATTGCAAAAAACAAATATTCTGAGATCAAGTAACGGGACAAAACTTTTTTACAGTTATAAAAAGAAAAATCATGATTTAACGGTTATTTTAACTCCGATTTTGATGATTTTTTACAGTTACACTCTTTGACCCTATATGAATACAATGAATGAATTCGATCTTCAATTTAACATATTTACACTAGTGGATACCACAAAATCTTATGTTATACTAATAAAGTATAAACAAACTCTTAAGTGTTAGTGAATCAATTGTTTTGATGGGATACACATTCTACGAAACTAGTTTCAACAATCCAGCTGTCAAACATATTTGTATATACTTCGAGATCTCATATGCCACAGATTGCAAAAAACAAACATTCAGAGATCAAGTAACAGGACAAAACTTTTCAACGGTTATCAATGAAAAATCATTATTTAACGGTTATTTTAACTCCAATTTTGATGATTTTTTACGGCTACACTCCTTGACCCCATATGAATACAATGAATGAACTCGATCTTCAATTAAACATATTTACACTAGTGGATACCACAAAATCTTATGTTATACTAATGAAAGTATAAACAAACTCTTAAGTGTTAGTGAATCAATTGTTTTGATGGGATACACATTCTATGAAACTAGTTTCAACGATCCAGCTGTCAAACATATTTGTATATACTTCGAGATCTCATATGCCACAAATTGCAAAAAACAAACATTCAGAGATCAAGTAACAGGACAAAACTTTTCGACGGTTATCAATGAAAAATCACTATTTAACGGTTATTTTAACTCCAATTTTGATGACTTTTTACGGCTACACTCATTGACCCTATATGAATACAATGAATGAACTCGATCTTCAATTAAACATATTTACACTAGTGGATACCACAAAATCTTATGTTATACTTAATGAAATTATGAATAAACTTTTAAGTGTTAGTGAATCTATTATTTTGATGAAATACGCATTCTACGAAACTAATTTCAACGATCCAACCGTCAAACATGGTTGTATATACTTCGAGATTGCATATGCCAAAAATTGCAAAAAACAAACATTTTGAGATCAAGTAACAGGAGAAAACCTTTCGACGGTTATCAACGAAAATTCACAATTTAACGGTTACTTTAACTCCGATTTTGATGATTTTTTACAGGTACACTCATTGACCCTATGTGAATACAATGAATGAACTTGATCTTCAATTTAAAATATTTACACCAGTGGATACTATAAAATCTTATATTATACTTAATGAAAGTATGAATAAACTCTAAGTGTTAGTAAATCTATCGTTTTGATAGGATATGCATTCTACGAAATTAATTTTAATGATCTAACCATCAAACATGTTTGTATATACTTCGACATCGAATACGCCAAAAATTGCAAAAAACGAACATTCAAAGATCAAGTAACAGGAGAAAAGTTTTCGACAGTTATCAATGAAAAATCATGATTTAACGGTTATTTTAACTTCGATTTTGATGATTTTTTACAACCACACTCCTTGACCCTATGTAAATACAATGAATGAACTCGATGTTCAATTTAAAATATTTACACTAGTGGATACTACAAAATCTTATGTTATACTTAATAAAAGTATGAATAAAATCTTAAGTGTTAGTGAATCTATCGTTTTGACAGGATACGCATCCTACGAAATTAATTTCAACGATCCAACCGTCAAAATTGCTTGTATATGCTTCGAGATCGCATACACAAAAAATCACAAAAAACAAACATTTAGAGATCAAGTAAAAGGATAAAACTTTTCAACGGTTATCAATGAAAAATCACGATTTAACGGTTAGTTTAACTCCGATTTTGATGATTTTTTACAGCTACACTCCTTGACCCTATATGAATATAATGAATGAACTCGATCTTCAATTAAAACATTTACACTAGTGGATACCGCAAAATCTTATGTTATACTTAATGAAAGTATGAATAAACTCTAAAGTGTTAGTGAATCTATTGTTTTGATGAGATACACATTCTACGAAACTAGTTTCAATGATACAACCGTCAAACATGTTTGTATATACTTCAAGATCGTATACGCCAAAAATTTTAAAAAACAAACATTCAGAGACCAAGTAATGGGACAAAACTTTTTGACGGTTATCAACAAAAAATCACGATTTAATGGTTATTTTAACTCTAATTTTGATGATTTTTTATAGCTACACTCTTTGACCCTATATGAATACAATGAACGAATTTGATCTCCAATTTAAAATATTTACCCTAGTGGATACCACAAAATCTTATGTTATACTTAATGAAAGTATAAATAAACTTTAAGTGTTAGTGAATCTATCATTTTGATGGGATACGCATTATACAAAAATAATTTCAACGATCCAACCATCAAACTTGTTTGTATATGCTTCAAGATCACATACGCTAAAAATCGCAAAAAACAAACATTCAAAGATCAAGTAACAAGACAAAACTTTTCAACGGTTATCAACAAAAAATCATTATTTAACGGTTATTTTAACTTTGATTTTGATGATTTTTTACAGGTATACTCCTTAACCCTATATGAATACAATGATTGAATTCGATCTTCAATTTAAAATATTTACACTAGTGGATACCACAAAATCTTATGTCATGATGATTAATGAAAATTGGGGATTTTGTAAAATGAATAATATGCAAGCTTTGAGTTCCTTGGCAAAGTTTAAACTTTTGAGAAAGGCTTCACAACCTTGAAAACAAAAACTCTTTCATTTTCAATATCCTTGCACATTTAATATTTTGTAATAGACTAGTAGTGTATGGATGTTTGTTTATTAGACTCTTATTTTCAAGTGTAGATGTAGTACTTAAACGACAAATGTGTTTTAATGTTTTGAAGTAAAATTTATGTGGCAATGTGTGGTATGTGAAAATTTAAGAAAAAAAATACATTTTTTTTAACGGGTCATAGCGGGTCATAACGGGTCGAGTAAAGTGACCCGACCTGTTAAAAACCCGTTAAGATAACGAGTGTGACACGACACGATCCGTTAAGATAATAGGTGTTACACAAAAACGAAACGAACACGACAGACACGACCCGTTTGCCAGGCATACACAAAGTACATACCGTCAGTGTCAGTAAAAACAAAAAGGTTAAATTATATTATCATTTTCAAGTTTGGGTCACATGACGAACTCATAAATTTTTTTGTTTTAGTCAAAGCATTGTCTTTTGAACATTGCAATATCATACATATCAACTTACGAATTCGTTTCAATGTTATACATTCATAACTCAACTAGTCAATCTGTTAATTTGGTTGTCAACTGTACATTTTTACTAATATAATGTCAAATTTGTGCCATGTGGGCAAACAACCAATTAAAATTATAATAAATTTTGAATAAAATACAATCTTCAAATTAAATTAAAAAAAGATTCTGAAGCATCGGCCCATGGAGCCCAAATTCTAACGACCCTCCACCCAACCCAAAATCATAATTTTATCCAATTTTAATTTGTTGTTTCTGAGTGGCGGAACCATGATTTTGAGTTAGGAGTCTATCACAAATGTTTAAAAAAAATAAAAATTAAACGGATAGTATTTACAACACTACTAACCAAAACATCACAATATATACGTGAAAAGTAACCAAAATTCAAAATAACAGCATCGATAATATTACATATTCCTAATAATCACACTAATCATTCTCAATGAGTTTTTGTGACAACCCGTTCCAAATTTTACGTTTTTATTTTATTTTAAAAGCGTGAATTTACGAAATTGCCCTAGAGGCAAGGACTTTGACTTCCGTTGACCATCGACTTGAAAGATGTGGGACTTATTCTTTTAGCATATCCTCGTAGTACTCATTGGTTCGAACGTATAGGCGAAAGCCGTTTGCGAGTCTGGATTATAACGGTATAGTTACGGACGTTCGAAATTGGTTATTCAAGGTTAGTGTTTATTTAAATTAAATCCCCACTTTGTGGGGGAAGCCCAATCAGAAAGAAAGAAG